AATTCCTCACTTCATTTATAATATTACTTTGAGAAGGAAATTTTTAAACAGGTGGCATGTGTTTTAGTTTCACAAACTGCATGAAGCCATGAAGTGACTGTTTTAATGGCAAGCAATTTTTGGTAAAAGCAACCTTTAAGAAAGACAAGATTGTGGAATCAAAATGACAAAATTGTTGAAGTAATGGCAACAGGTCAACTTACTGTTTTGGGGATGAAGTAATACTAGTTCAAGTGTATTTCATACGGTGACTCATTTACACAGGTTTCAAAACTTGAATCAGTAATTGACGTACACGCAGTGGTTTACATACTTTCCGTCCCACAATAACTTTCATGTCTTTTGTAGAAACTGATGGCAGCTATTTTCTCTCGGTTGCGGAATTCTGGCCATGTACGTTTTCTACCGAACAAATGTTACGTGTAGTCCCAAATATAACGCCTATATGTAGTCCTCGAATTCAATGCAAATAGTAAATTCTTTCATTTCCCCAACTTAGCTTGGTTGTTACTTTCTATAGAGTTCTTTGCTAAGTGCTTCATTTTGACCAAATGTTAAAAATAACTTGATTTTCCTATGAAAATGGATGTTCCAAAACAGTCTGTTAAGTATGCTCAACCTGGATGTGCATTTGAACTACGTATATCTCTCTATTTTCCAAAAGTGGGCAGTTTAGAGGAATCCCACTACATTCCTTGATGCATACAAATAAAAATTGTTTGCAAATTTTGTCGAACGACAAGCAAGTTCAAAATTATGGACCGTCTCTTGGTCTAAACAAGGCATTTGACTTCCTTTCTGATGTGCATGGATTAAAAGAAAAATCCCCTAAATTAAAGATACATACTTTATTGGCGCAGTACGTGCCTCTGAGGAATTGCACATCTTACACAAAAGAGGTGCCCTTTTAAGCACACTTGTAATGTTGTAACAAATAGGGACTGTCGGAAATCCTCTCGTCCTTCCAATCAAATCGAAGTGCCTCAACCGGTCAAACAAATGCAAATCCAACCCAAAGTCGTCGCCGCCACTTCCGATGGTCTATCGTTGACAAAACAACGATGAACGAAAATTCTAAAGCACCGCCCATTCCACCACGACCTCTGCCATCACAGTCAGCCACACCACCACCACTGCCACCTCCATCGCCGCCGCCACCGCCACGCCAGCCGGCACTATCACCACTACCATCTACAAACCAGTCGACAGAAGGCATCACCGCGAGCTCAAAATCAGGTTCGCCTTTTGGTATGATGACACCGCAGCTGCTCCGACACAAGTCCTCCAATACTACTGCAATTGCCGACTCCACGGGTCATCGAAAACCATCAGCATCTCGAATGTTCTCACGTTTACGTTCAGCACTCCGTATTGGCAGCAGTGGTGGTGGCTCCAACACAGCAGCTGACAGCATAAAACGCGGAATCGCGACAACAGCAACGACGTGTGGGATGACAGTGGTAACGGCAAATCATTTACCAAACACTTTCGCCTCCGACGGTATTTAACAATCCTCCGCTCCTCTACACCCCCATAATTTGCTTCATCATTGCCTCGTGTAAATAATTAAGCTACTAAATGCGATGCTTGGATTTGGTTATGCACAGCCTGATGTATACACAGGACTCATAGCTATCATGCAGATACTGATGCAATAGCACACTTGGTGCAATCAGTCTTTCAAACTTCTTTACAACTATGTAATTTTCAAAGTATTTTTCGGTATTGTGAATTGCTGCAACTGATCAGTATCCATAAAGTACTTCAGCAGTAGTACTT